AGATAAGAAGTCATTGGAGAGTTTTGAATAGGCAGAGCCTTAATTGGACTTAACATTTTGAAAATATCCAGTGACTCTGTAGAGAATAGAAAATGGTAAATATAGAAGCAGGGAACAAAACACAAAATTGTATGGAGATCGACACAGACTCATGTACACGAAACAGAAAAAGAAAAACCAGGTCCTATCCATCTTACTCTGTATTCCTGTCAGCACTATCTCAGGACTCTCCAGAATGTATAAACTTTAAGGAAAATTTTCAAAGTTAGGAGAAAGTTGGTTACAAAAATAAAACATAAAAGATTTGGGTAACATCTTTAATGGGAAGGAGGAAATGGCTTGTCTACTGAGTTGCATACTTCAGTTCCCATCTTAGACATCTGGGCTCTAATCTCCTCAGTGCTGTATAGTTTCAAAGTCGGCCCTTGGGAAGATAGATGATCCCTTTCAGTTTTCTAGTTAATCATTTTCCTCACAACCCCTCTGAGGAAACATTTTCCAAGTCTGAGGGTGGGTAGTCTGCTCTGGTCTTGCCTATAAAACTGCTGCTCATGGACTATATCTAACTGTCAAGGCTACCACTGGTTTCAGTTTATTCTTCCAGTTGTAACAGTGGTGCTAATAATTGACACAGATTTTTCAGTGCCCAACACTGAACATAAACAAGCCTGATGGCAAAAAGAACTACCCATAAATCAACCCTTCACTCACAAAACTACAGAACCCCCAGTACCCTTTCTAGGAATGTTGGATGTAATAAATCTTTCAAGAGGTTGATTGGCAGTTCTAAGCCAGTCCAGCTGGTCATAAAGAGGTCTTAATGCTTTCCCTGAAAGACACTACTGCACTATAGAAACTTCACAGAGTGATCTATTGCTGTTCGATTTGTCAGAAAGGGTCATTGTCTGCTTTTCCAGACTCTGACTTTTCTCTCTTCCTACTCACTGACCCTGGTTGACTTCAGAAAGGTCAGGCAAACTGTGCTCATTTGGGCTGTCATTCCTTCCTCAGTATGATCCATCAGCTGCCCTTTTTCATTGAATCCGTCAAAAGCTTAGACCAGCTTTTCAATACCACTATACCAGTAGAATCCTACTTTTATCTTGCTCTGCTCCCAGCACCGTTACCAGATATCAGATCTGATCACATAATCCTCCTCCTCTATAATCTATAATCAATCCTCCTCTAATCCAGAATAGAGTCCACAGTTCTTCAGCGGCTTTCAAACTACTCTAGGACAAAAAACTAGCTGTCAAGTACAAATAATCTACTATGGTTCTGAATGTATCCCTCCAAAGTTCTTATGCTGAAAACTTAATCCTAAAATTCATATGTTCATGGTATTTGGAGGTGAGTCCCTTTGGAGATGACTAGAGTTAGATGAGGTCATGAGGATAGGTACCTATGATAGAATTAGTGGTTGTATAAAAGGAAGAGAGACTTGAGTTTGAATGTTCCTGTTCTCTTTGCCATGTGATGATTTCTATCATGTTGTGACATAACAAGAAGGCCTTCACCAGATACACACCCTTCATCAGGGATTTCCCAGTCTCCAGAATTTTGACCCATCCTTGAATATTTTATTGTAGCAACATAAAACAGACTAAGAAACAATTCAATCAAAAATAGTCATATAACCAAAAGTGTTGTTCTGATTATGTCATTGGGTGCTCTTCTGGATCTCCTTCTGCTATGTTATTAATAGTCATTGAAGGGGCCAGCACTGTGGTGCAGTGGGTTAACCAGGCACCTGCAATGTCAGCACTCCATATGGGTACAAGTTCAAGTCCTGCCTGCTCAATTTCCCATCCAATTCCCTGCTAATGCATCTGTGAAAGCAATGGAAGATGGATGGCCCAAGTCACCCACATGGGGACCCTGATGGAAATCAGGACTCCTGGCTTTGGTCTAGCCCTGCCCCGGCTGTTGCAGTCATTTGGAGAGCAAACCAGCATACTAAAGATCTCTCTCTCTCTCTCTCTCTCTCTCACTGTACCATTCAAATAAACAAATCTTTTATAAAAAAAAAATCACTGTAACCTTTACATGATTCTTGCCACTTAATGACAAACCAGAATATACTTGTTACCCAATTCTGATTCCACAGTCTCTTCATTTTTCTCACTGTTCAAGTTATATATTCTATCTCTTCATAGTTTATAATTCAAGTTGCATAGATAGCATTCCCTATGTCACAGCCCTCTGTTTTTCTCATGTTTTCTTCTATAATCTACTTACTTAAAATCTCCACTCTACTGTTAACTGAATAACCTCTGTGCCCTAAGAAAGTCAATAATCTACATCTTTCACCCTACTGTCTAACAAGAATTTGCTCTTCCTCCTCTCTCCTGCTCAATTAGCTTACTTTTCTCAAGACTAAATCCTAACTATTTAGTGAAACCCAAAGATTCCAAGAGACCTTTTCCTCTTTTGAACTCCTGGAGAGTTAACACTCATCAAACTGCATTGGAAACGGTCAAGTGGCAGGTGCATATGCATCGTCTTGTGGCTCTGTCCTCTCTTCCTAGTTTTTAATTCCTTAGAAGCAAGGATCATAGGTTTCTTTGACTCAAGTTGCTAATGAGGTGTTTTTAAATAGAAAATACATAATAAGTGTTGTTTGGGGATTAAATATTGACTAAGCATTTTTCATTATGCATATATTTACTTATTTTAGAGACAGATAGACAGACAAATGGAAATAGCTCCCATGTGCTAGCTTACTCCCCAGACACACGCAATGGCAACGATGAGGCTGGATCAAAGCCATGAGAGAGCAACTCAATCCCGGTCTCCCATGCGGGTTGCAAGAATCCAACTACTTGAGCCATAACCACTGCCTCCCAGGGTTTGCACCAGCAGAAACCTGGAGTTAGGAGCCAGAGCCAGGTATCAAATCCAGGTATTCTGATAGAGGATGCAGTTGCCTTACCCTATTTCTTAACCACTAGGCTTAATACACACCCTTTCCAAGTATTTTCTAGATGACTTCCCACTAAACATTAAAGAGAATATACAATAGGCATTGATCAACGTCTTCAGATTTTAAATTCAATTAAATAATTAACTACTGAATATCAAGTATGTGAACTTACTACCCAAGACACTATAGAGAATTAAAAGATGAATAAAATAGAGGCCCAAGCCTCAAGAACTTTGTAATCTTGAAGAAAAAATTTTTTTCAAAAAGAGAAAAGGAGAGACGTTCTATGCAGTTTTTAAAGTAGAATTTAGAATTCAAAATAATAGAACTCATTAAAGTTCAGTAAGTCAGAGAGGATGACTCAGAATTTTTATTTTTAAATTTTTATTTATTTGAAATATATATGTATATCTGTATATCTGTATGTATATGTATATATGTATATCTACATATATATATATATATATATATATGTATATCTGCATTTCACAGAGAGAGAGAAAGAGCTCCCCCACCTGCTGCTTTACTCCACAAATGCCCGCAACAGTAAGGACTGGGTGGGACTAAAGCCAGGAGCCAGGAATCCATTCTAAGTCTCCAAACTGAGTGGCAGGAACCGATTCCTTTAGCCATCATCACTGCTTCTCAGGGTCTGCATGAGCAGGAAGCTATTGTCAAGAGCTAGAGACAGGTATCAAACCCAGGCGCTCCAAAGTAGGATGTGAGCATTTTAACTGCTAACCTCATGATCCAGAAATTTTCATGGTCAACAGCAAATTATTTATTACTAAGCTAAAATATATTAGTCAATACCAGAATTACTCTTAGGAATTTCTTTATTTTGAAACAATGTAATGGGTTATTTGAATCTGAAAATATAGGCTCAAGAGCAAGGTTTGAATGGATGAAACAGTTCAAAGGGAAGTCTAATTTCCTCAATCTAAAAAAAAACAGGAAGAATTTAGGGAAGAAAGATACAGGATATTTCCCAAAAAGGGGAAGAAAGTATACTGTAGTGCAATAACTCCCAGTTGTAACAACCGACGGTGAACATCTTGTCCTAATTTCAACCTTGATAGCAACTAGTTGGCAGCTTGAAGTAAGCCACAGTGGAGCATCTATACCATGCGTGGAAATTGCAAAGCTACAAATCAGACCTTTTAAGAGTGCATAATGAAATATTTATTAGTGCATAGCTAATTATTGCTATGGAATGGAAAGACAAAGCATATGATTGCTAAGAAATGTTTGAAGCTAAGAATCCCAAATATTCTATTTTAAGCAGTTCATTTCATCTCAATTTAAATTTCTCTGTCTCCCCAATTTTCAGCAAAGTCTACCACAGAAGCAAAGGCCTTGAGTAAATAGGTTGTGTGAGATCGTACATAAGTAGATAAGTATGTGCATGTCAAATTTCATATTAGAGTCAAGGAGGTGCAGAACAGGAAGCAAATCTGCTGGATGCTCAGATGATCCACAGACAAAACAAATTCAACAAAAGTGGGAGCTTAGAAGACAGATGGGACTAGTAAAATGGGCAGAGAGAATGCAGTGCTTCAAGTGCCCCTTCCACACAGGGTTCAAGTCAATCACACATGAATCTCAAATGCAGAGACCCTTAACTGATTTCAAGATTACATAATTCATGGCAACATCTAGGTTACAGAATTCATTGCAACACCATCTGTGGGATCTTTTTAATTCAATTGTCTGTGTATTGAAAAATTCTTGTATAACATGATATATGTAAAGATTCTTAGGAATAAACTCAGAAACTTCAAAATACTGACTCATTTGGTCTCCACCAGAAAGCCAGTCTCTCAGAAGTGGTAATTTCCAGACTGGTTGGTGTTGAATGAGCCCTGCTTCCAGGTATAACTATTTGTCACTTTGCTGTGGCCCAAGCATAAATGACCAACTCCTTTCTAATCAGCACCTTCTCATACTTTATTATAACGATGTTATGTCTTATAACAATATAGCACATCATCATCAGGTTATAATTATTAGAATCAAATTATCACACAGCAGTAGTCTTAATAGTTAAAGAACATCAAATGTCTGAAAAGTAACATACCTTTAGGATTCTTGCCTCGAGATTTCTGACTAGGTCTTGGCAAACTCCAGAAACAAAATATTGGTACAATGCAAGGAGAGGGAGAACCTACCAGGAGACAAACACACTTTAACATATATTTTATCAAACTAAGAACTGATAAATCAACTTTAGTCAAATATCAGATGTACAGTATATTATGTAAGATATCAATTGATTTTCCATGCCAGTCAACTATACTGTTTGGTATAAGTGAAATGATGTGCCTAGCGTATTTTTCATGATTCATCAAAATTTAAGAAGCTGCCAGACTTACAGTTCCAATTAGATGCCATTTGATACCCTCAAACATAGGTTTCACATATCTTTAAGCATTAAGTTAAAAACCACTGAATTTTTATCTTCCTTCAAAAAATTGACTCAACAAAATATATAAATCTATTTGTCTCCAATTAGGATGTTTATCAACAAAGATGTACTTACAACATGCCTATTATGTTTTAGGCACCATTGAATGAGAACAAAATCTAACAAGTCCTTGCTTTCACATAGCATATATTCTACGAACTAAAACCCAAGCTTTTTAATTTCCTAGAAATAATCCCAGGGGCCTGAGCTGTGGTGTAGCAGGTAAAGATGCTGGCTGCAGTGCCAGCTTCCTATTTGGGTGCCAGTTTGGTCCCGGATGCTCTACTTCCAATCCAGCTCTCTGCTATGTCCTAGGAAAGCAATGGAGGATGGCTCACATGCTTGGGCTCCTGAACCCATGTGGGAGACCTAGAAGAAGCTCATAGCTCCTGGCTTCGGATCAGCCTAGCTCCAGCCATTGCAGCCATTTGAGGAGTGAACCAGCGGATGGAAGACTTCTCTTCCTCTCTCTCTCTCTCTCTCTCTCTTTCTCTGCCTCTCTGTAACTCTGCCTTTCAAATAAATACAGAATTTTTAAAAAAAGAAATAATCCCAAAGTTCAGTTGTTCTCAAAGCCTCCTATATATACAAGGTCATCAAAATGTTCATGAAATGTGTATTATGAAAAAGCTAAGGATGGATTTCAAAATTTTCTTGCAGCAAAATGAACTCAGAATAACTTCTCACAACACACCTGAATAGGATCTAGCTTGAAGCACTAAGAAGGAGAAGACATTAGTTTGAAAAAAGCCCCTATAAGAGTAACATGAATTCTGATAAAACTGAAGAATAGGGGCTGGCATTGTGGCACAGTGGGTTTAAGCCTTGTCCTGCAGCGCTGGCATCCCATACAGGAGCCAGTTTGAGTCCTGGCTGTTCCACTTCCTATTCAGCTCCTTGATAAGATGCCTGGGAAAGCAGCAGAGGATGGCCAAAGTGCTTGGGCCTCTGAACCCACATAGGAGACCAGAAGAAGCTCCTGGCTCCTGGCTTCAGCCTGTCTCATCCCTGGTCATTGTGGCCATTTGGGGAGTGAATCAGCATATGGAAGACCTCTCTCTTTTTCTACCCTCTCTGTAACTCTGTCTTTCAAATAAATAAAATAAATCTTAAAAAAAAAAAAAACCTGGAGAATAAACACCAAATTTCTAATGAAGCTTGTGCAGAATAAAAAAATTATGGATGCTTTACAAAAAGTTTATGAGGACAATATACCTAAGAAATCAGTAGTTTGCAGATGGATAACTTATTTAAAAAAAGGAATGAAATGATGTTGAAGATGTACCCCCACAGTACCAGACCACTCACATCCATTGCTGGGGGGAAAAAATCAGTTTTGTTCATGCCCTCGTTGAAGAGAACCAACAGTTAACAGCAGAAACAACAGCCAACACCATAGACATCTCAGTTCTTTCAGCTTACACAATTATCACTAAAAAATTAAAATGGAACAAACTTTCTGGCATAAGCATACCAAAACTGCTGCACCTAAATCAGCTGAAGCCAAGAGCACAACTTTCAATAGAAATTTTAAACAGGATTGATATCTGGAAACATTTCTTTGAAGAATTATAAAGGAGATGAAATATGGCTTTACCAACTGATCATAAAGAAAACATATAATCAAAACAACGGCTATCAAGAGGTAGAAGTGGCCTAGTCAAAGTAAAAGCAGAATGATCACCGGCAAAATTCAGGGCAACAGGTTTTTTGGGGATGCTTTGTTTGTTCCCTTTCTAGAAAGCCAAAGAATGATAATACATGCTTATTCTGAAAGTGCTTTGTGAAAGTTGACTAAAGCATTAGCAGAAAAACACCCAGGAGAGCTCCACCAGAGGGTCCTTCTCTACTGAAATAATTCTCTTGCTCATTCCTCTCAACAATCAACAATGGAGGGCAATGTTGTAAGAGTTTCAGTGGGTGGCATCCACTTTGCAGTCCTGATTTGACTTATTTTGAATTCTTGTTGTTTCCTAATCTTAAAAAAAAAAAATCTTCAAGAAGCACCCATTCTTCTTTGGTTAATAATGTAAAAAAGACTGCATTGACAAGTTAATTTTCCAGAATCCTTAGAGATCTTTAGGGATGAACTAACTGGTTGACAGCATTACTTATAAAATTCTCTTGAACTTGGAAATTTCATTGAGGAATACAGTTTATATTTTAAATGTTTAGCTTTTAATTCCATTTCTCCATGAACTTGTTGAAGTTCCCTTGTATGTGAATGTCTATAGACTATCAATATTCTGGTTGACATAAACACTATCCACATATGGAAGACTTGAGGGGAACAGCTTTATCTAGACACAGCAAAAGCTCCTGATCTCAGTCCAAAGCTGAGGCTGCCCCACCAAAGGGAGATCAAGTAAAATGGGGAACTGGAACCCCTATTATTTAGCACACCATTCCCCATGATTCAACAGCTCTGGGTTCCCTAACAATTTTATAGCCAACCCTGTAGCTATTGGAGAAGATGATTGTAATGCAAAGTGGGGACTGTTTACTTCTTGTAAGTTCAGCCAGGCAACCTCTAATCCTCAGTAAACTGGCAGCTGCTAATAGCAACAACTTTTTAAAAGGATTAGAATTGGTCTGAAATTATTTCAAACATAATATATTTACTACAATGATGCATTACAAACATAACACAATACCCTTTTCTACAATTAATGTAGCACAAACCATTAAGAGATGGCTATTACCTTTGAGATTTAGTTTCTTTTCTTTAGTGAGAAATAAAAACATACCATTTTACTGCATCCAATTGCTCAATTATTCAGAAAAAACATTCTCAATTTAAGCTTTAGAGAAAAAAAGTCTCATTTCTTTTCCAAAGCAGTGATATGTATTATATATGAATATGACTAGGCAGCTAAAGGTTACCCAAGGGATAGAATCATTTTCTCAAACCAAAAATGAATCCCTTTAAGAGTGAGAGGAGTACCATTTTATTTTTTTCAATAAACAATTTTTGTCATATCTGCCCAGTGTTAAAAGCATGTATCAACCTCATCACTTTAACACATGATTTTATAATTTATCATTTGTATCAAGGGGCAATAAGTATTTTCAATATAAAGAGACAGTTGAATTCAAAAAAAATATGGCAAGACAATAGAAAACAATACATGAAAACTAAAAATAATGTAGGTATCAAAATTATTAAATAAATGGAAATAGAAAAGGAAAAAGAATAGATATTAAGATGCAAATATAGGAGAAAAATATGCAAAAAAAGTAGAAGAAAAAGCACAAAGAATAGACAAAGTAAGATAAGAGAGGAAAATATAAAGTGACCAACAATTATAACACACGAATTTATTTTTAAAATGTAATCAAGGGCTGGTGCTGTGGCGTAGCAGGTAAAGCTGCTGCCTGTACTGCCAGCATCCCATATGGTGCCAGTCTGAGCCCCGCTGCTCCACTTGCGATCCAGCTCTCTGCTATGGCCTGGGAAAGCTGTAGCAAATGGCCCAAGTCCTAGGACCGCTGCACCCACATTGGACACCAGGAAGAAGCTCATGGCTCCTGGTTTTGGATTGGCGCAGCTCCTGCCATTGCGGCCAATGGAGGACTGAACCAGCGGATGGAAGATCGCTCTCTCTCTCTCTGCCTCTCCTTCTCTCTGTGTAACTCTTTCAAATAAATAAATAAATCTTTTAAATACATGTAACCAACTTCAACTTTTTGATATATTGTGTGATTTCTCTCCCTAACAAAAATGAGTCATATTTAAATTTGTGCATTTCTTAGGCCATTAACAAATGTCCTTTATCTTAATTTTTAATCTGTTGTTCTCTTAGATGGACCCTTGACAAAGAAAAAACAAGAGACACAAAGATAAATTTAGATCAATAAAGAAATACTCTCCAAAGTCAACAACAGGAGTCACTGTGCACTTACTCCTCATGTAGGATCTCTGCCCTTAATGTGCTGTACATTGAGATTTAATGCTATAACGAGTACTCAAACAGTATATTTCACTTTGTGTTTCTATGGGGGTGCAAACTGTTGAAATCTTTACTTAATGTATACTAAACTGATCTTCTGTAAAAAAAAAAAATAAGAAATTATCAATTCCCAACTTGACTCTCACTGGGATTAAATATGACAACAGGTCTGATCTGATTTCATCATCATTTAAAAAATCAATCCATAAGCCGTACTTTGGAAATTTATATTCATTAAATAAAAGTTAAAAAAAAAAGAAATACTCTCTTAGTTTTGGTATTGATATGAACCAAACAACTTAATGCAAGTTAAAACTGTACTAGGTTCCTATGTCTGAGAAAAATGACACATGCTAATCAATTTTTATTTCAATGTCTTAAGTAAAAAAAAAAAAAGATAAAACAATAAAGTTAAAAAGAGGACAGAGACATTGCTTTTGTCTTCAAACTGTGATTAATGTCAAGAAAGAATATTAATTATTTTATTTTAATTTTTAAAAAATTTATTTATTTATTTGAAAGTCAGAGTTACACAGAGAGAGAAGAGGCAGAGAGATAAAGAGAGAGAGAAAGAGAGAGAGAGAGAGAGAGAGGTCTTCCATCCGATGGTTCACTTTCCAGTTGGCCGCAACGGCCGGAGCTGCACCGATCTGAAGCCAGGAGCCAGGAGCTTCTTCCAGGTCTCCCACGTGGGTGCAGGGGCCCAAGGACTTGGGCCATCTTCTACTGCTTTCCCAGGTCATAGCAGAGAGCTGGATTGGAAGTAGAGCCGGGTCTCAAACTGGCACCCATATGGGATGCCAGCGCTTCAGGCCAGGGCATTAACCCACTGTGCCACAGTGCCGGCCCCAAGAATATTAATTTTTTATGATATATAGATAAGAATCCTAAATTTATAGTGTTTAAAAGTTAAAAACTGACCAAAAGAATATTAGCAAAATTTGAAAACCATAAGTGGAGCTAAAATACCACAAGGAATTAGGATTTGTTGATTCTTCGAATTACTTACTATGAGATTTTGTTTAGCAAAGTGTAATTCACGTGTAACATAATACAGACTTGCAACCACAGAGCAAATATCAGCCCTGTATCTGTCTGAGAAGAGCTCAATCCCTGGAAGAAGTTGAGTGATTTCATACTGAGCATAGGTACATTCACTTTTAGGATTTGGAAGTGTGGTCCTAAGCAAACCCTGAAAATGAAGACAAGTGGATTAAGGAGCTGCAAGTCACAATTTCAATGATGAAACAATAACAAAAATAAGTACTTGTACTACTTCCTGAGGTGCTTAGTGTATGCCTAGCACACTATACTCTATAAAAAAAAAAATGGTACTTATCATTATTATCATGAACGGTGCCAAGCATTTTATCACTCAAGATGAGATTTTTAAATTCCATGGGAAGTGGATAATCACTCTTTTTGAAGAATTCATCGTTAAGCTACCATTTGTTGAGGGTCACTTTTCTGTTGGGCACTGCTAATAAATCCTTTATGAATGTTATCTCATTCATAACTTATTTAACTTACCCTCAGAAGGATTATTATTTCAAAAATGACACAATTGAGGCTTAAATAACCTATTGAGGTCATGTAGTTAATGATGGCAGAACGAAGATTCAACTCTGTGACTACTTAATTCAAAAATCTATGTTCTTCCCATTTCACTAAGTTATCAACAGAGAAAATGACAACACACGGCAGAGGTGTAAATCAGGCAAGAGCAATTCCAAACTTAACAGCAGTAAGTAGAAAGAGGATCTATTCAAGTGACTAACATCCCTTGGGTAATTTAGATGATCAATATCATACTACATGACAGGGAAACAAGGTGGGTCCGCAAAACCAAATTTTAAATTTACGGGTTATCCTTTTATCTTAACCAATTAAGAATTCTAGATGACAAATGCATTATGAAATAATTTTAACATGTTTATCAGGAAAGAATTTCAATCAGATTGCTTGTTAAGGTTACAAATCATCCTACTCTACAGTGCTATGGAGCTGTCAAATTTTTTAATTTAACAAATTTGCTTTCAAATCATAAAAAGAATTAGCAGGCTTTTAAAATAAATCCCAGCAGCTGGCTTTTACTTCAGGTGCCGCATTACTGAGAAATTACATCTACATTAGGCAAAAAGTCAAAGAGTTTTAAAAGTCATGTATGTTCTAGAACATAAACAGCATTATCAAGAACAAGGTGAACATAAAGAATGCAGTGTAAGGAGTCAGAGTCAAATAAGCATTCCTCTTGCATCCCTGACCACCCACCTTTGAGGCACAACCAAGAGGTACATGGTACGTAAGAAAATTGACAGGTCTGGCCATACATTCAGGGGGGCCTTCCCCCAAAGAATTCATGTGGCAAGATTTCATAAACCCCCAGCCCTGTCTGATGCTCAGAACAAGCGTGTCCATCCTTCAGAGCAAACAAGATCTTCAGTAGACTGTGAAGGCCCCTGGCTGCACCCCAGCCTCTCAGACTGTCTTGTACTCCAGATACAAGGTCCTTTCTTCTTCAGTGAAGTCAACCCAAAACCCTGCAAATACTTCTCTTCTATTGTCTTCAACTTATTTCTTGCCTTCATTATATGAATTTTATAACATGGAAACAAGGAAAACTTTGGAGATGAGGCAACCTAAGGCAACTGTCTGGAGTCGGCTGGGCTTTCACATCAGTCACCAGAAACAGGATCTTACTATCGGCAGGAGACTCAGTTTCCCTACCTTTAAAACTGCTTCCTGCCTAGTCTAAAGGGGAAAACGAACCGTTGAATACTAAAGGTGCAAGTTCCACAGGGTTTCCACAGGTACCTGTGAGATTTACAAATGTGATAAACCACTGCACTTTCTTGCAGACTTTTTACTGGTCATACTGCTATACAAAAACACACATGAAGTTTTACCTGAAAGAGTAAGGCAGACAAAATGCAACAGTCGGTTCTCTTTTTAATGTTTGAGGTCTTAATAAATCTAAACAAGTATAAGAAAAACTGATTAGTAAACAGTTTTCCAAAAATATTTCTATATGTATGTTTCCAGATATATCTAAAACATGGAAAATGTAAGAACATGTGTGCATGAAAATATAAGAGAAATATAATGAAGAAAATTAAAAATTCCTCTCTAATCCCACCATCTAAACATGATTACTGGTAACATTTTAGTCAATTTTCTTGTAGATGTTTTTCTATATATAGTTATAGACACATGTATATGAAGACTAGAATTATGCAAAACATACTATTTTATAAATAAATTTTTCATTCTCAGGTATAACGATCTATATCATTATCTTAAAGAGCTTTAATGTTTTATGAGTAGACTTATATAAAATACTAATCTTCATTTTATTTTTTCCAATGCTAAGGTAAACATTCTTATGTCTTTTTTTATGTCTACTCTTTTAAGCATTTATCCTATTAGTTCCACTGGATAAATCCCGAGAAGTGTAATTTTTGTGTAGGAGATATGTAATTAACACTTTTGACAAATTTGTTTAAATAATTCCCCCTCAAAATGGCAGCAATGTATTTCGTCATTGGAAAAATATTTTGGAGCCATTTAAAACAGTAAATCTTTCCACCAAAAATTAAGATAAGATCTCTCCATTTCCTAGTGTCTCATTCTATATCCTTTAAACGAGTCTGAATTCTCTGTATGTGAGTCTTGTAACTCACACTGGAGACTACAAACCACATTATCTTCTACTAAGTCTTACTTAGACAAACCCAAACAGCTTCATTATGTGGATAACATCTATCTGGGTTCAGGTTCTCTGTGCAGATAACCCGAGTGTTTAGCACAGGGAGCACTCAGGGAGCATAACCCAGTCTGTCACATCATTCTCACTGCCATGGTTTACAGACGTGGACACTGAGGGTTACTAGAACAGTCTTGGATTAGGCCTGTCAGCCTCCTTCCACACTATTACTCTTGCTCGCATACCAACTGTTCCTTCAATCAACTAGCAGTTATTGGATGGCAGCTCCTTGCCAGGCACTGGGAGAAACCACTGAATAAAGCAAAGGCCTGTATCCACGTGGCACTGTTGTGTTGGGCAATCAGAGGTGTTCCGGGGCGAGAAGACAGTCATAAATGATAAATATCACAAATAAGGAAACAGCATAATTCTGTATGATGAGGCTACAACTGCCCAGGAATCCAGTGTGTCTGAGGCCCTCACACAGCACAGGTGGGTGCCCCATAGAGGAAGCCAGTGCCACACTGCAGGCCATTCTATCCTCATCATACTTACTGTGCTATCTTCGCTGAGACCATTGCTCCTTGCAAACAGCCCCAAATGCCAACTTTTGATAGAAATTCCTCGCTGTAGTCTTTGAAACCTGAGCGTGAACGGCTGAGTGAGGTGCCAAATTCTTTCCATGTATGTAGCACATCTGATTTTCTGAATATGTCATCCAGAGCTTGACACCAACACTTAAACGCAGCCCTAAAACAGAGGCCAAGTCACAGAGCAGAACATCTTGGGAGCAGTTCTTAAATCTATCTTTCAAAAGGTAAAGCAAATACACCAAAGAAACAACTCCATTAACATAGCAGAGAATAAACTTAACCCATTCGTTGCTCGTAACAATTGCTCTCAGGTAGCATTTGATGAATGAAATGCAGCAATGTAAATATTATTGTCAGACAAAAATTAACAAAAGACAATATTTTCCCAATAATTACATTTTTTTTATTCAAGGAAACAAGCAAGTTGGCCCTTGTTCCACTGACTCCTAAAAATCTACCTTTTCTTCCCTGCGAAGATGAGAAGATTCCCAAGTGTATGCAATGCCTGAACTTTAAGACTTCTTTGATTGCTTGCGTGGAGAACATCTGTATTTTTAATCAAGTGAAAGAACAAATGTCAGTTCTGACAGAAATATTTCCTTCATATTTACAAGAATATTTTAAACTGCATTCTTCCTTAACTGTGTAGACTGCAATAAGAAAACTGCAAGTTAATAGTGCCTTTAAATGTCACACAGTATATATACACAGAGAGAGAGTAAACGAAGTTCTGTTTGAACACAGAGAAGTAGGAAATTGGGTCTAACACTGAGGAAACAAAGATGCTTCTTGGAGAGAGTGGAATAAAAAGCAGGCAGGTAGAGAAGGTGAAGAAGAGAAACAGAGCAGGCAAGGAAGGGATATTGGGCTGAGAATACAGGGGGATGAAGTGTGTGGCTGGGATATTATTATTTTAAACTGGGAGTCTGAAAACGGAGGTGGTGGTTGTATTCTGGAGACTTCTGAATGCCATACAAAGACGTGGGGACATTATCTTATAGCAGAGGGGAAGGCTAAGAGGGTTTGTTTGTTTAGCAGAGAGGTGACAAGATCCTAGCATATCAGATTCTTCTTTTTACACAGAAAAACATATCTTCAATAGCATGTAATTTTTTTTTGGTTTTATAACAATTGCATGAATTCAGGGATGTGTAGCCAAAAACAAGCAAACAAACAGAAACTGTCTGCAGAAATGGCAGTGGTTTTTAATTTTAATGAAAAATATACAGTCCCCCAAGGGGTATTGTAGAAATCTGAGAAACGGATGTAGTGGTTGTCACAGTAGGGCATCTCCTGGCATTTTGGTAAAGACCAGAGATTCTAAAAGGCCTGCAATGCACAAAAACTTACCCAACAGTGAAGAAAAAGGTTAAAAAGCTGTTCATCTGAGCCGAACATGAACTGTTTTACACATAAAAATGCTATTTTGGCATGTATGCTAAATGTCCTGAAATTTCTAGAAACACAACCACTGTAGCACTGTTTTGTCCAGACTCTTCCAATATTTATTTGCTATTTTAGAAAATCATGTTACCCAACTTAACAATACTGACAGTACTTGTGTCACCAACCCAGCACACGTGTATCAGTCTGCATCTGTACTGTCACATTCCTCATGATTCCACACACAGGATATAAGCATCAGACTACTTCTTCACAATTTCAAATGCCAGAACGTTTACATACTAACACAGATTCTTTCATTATAAAATGGTTCTGTTCAGCTTATCCTCTGAGAGTTTCATAATTTTTTGGAAACAATGTGCATAGGAAGAATATATTAAATATAAATTTTATTTTAGGAAATAAAAGAGAACTTATAAAGTGTTATCAGAAAAGGGGACATTAGGTCTATCATTTCTACTGAATTTATGGAAAAGCCAATCAAGGAGAAAGACAGGAAAAAGGAATCAGCAGGGATAGAATGATAGCATGTGACAGTGTCCCTAAACCCTCAAGGGGCTCACAGTCCCCGTCAAAGAAGGATGGGCAGTGGGTTTCCTGGGATCTCACAGTGGCGATGGCCAGGCTAAGGAAGACGTCAACAGGAGGGGACTCTGGCACTGCCTACAAGGGTGTCATGAGTGTTCAAGCTCTTTCACCTAATCTTCCAGGTGACATTTTGGGGATAGATGAAATCTCAACAGTAACGAGGACGCTCCTATTGAAAATGAATACGTAATAGTTAAATCTTACCAATAGTTTGGTGAAAAGAAGAAATTACCAATCCCAGCTGTGAATAGGGAAGTTTGCTTTTCTCCACGGAACTGAACACCCTGAAGTGCTCTTGAGAAAGGTCAGGTGGCGTGGACATGTGCATTTCTTCTGTCCCCAGGCAAAATTCTACTCTTCCAGAAGTGAATTTTAAGTTGTTTATGTTTTTCTCACCTAAATTCAGGGGGGAAATAAAGGAAAGGGAATTTAAAATGCAGAAAGAAGGGGGAATGATGGGAAGATGTAGAGGACATGGATAGAGAGAAGCCTGGAGCAACTTTTGCTTAGAGCTGAGACTTATTTGCAGCGTAAAGGGCACCGTTTCCTTAAACTTAGTGACCAGGAGAGTTTCTGAAGACCCCCGGAGTGGGTGGATGGGCTCTCTGCCTGTGTTGCTTCCTAAAGAGCACTACAGAGGGGCAGTCAGCCAGAAAGCAAAATGTTGAGATAATGCTATGCTTCTCCTGGGGATTGTGGAAGTTACACAGTTTGAGTTTGCCTTTTTTTTAATAGCTTTCAACAGTAAGATGTTAGTTTGCCTCTGGGGCAGAAACCTCTGGGATGGAAGCAACACATAGGTAGTTTTGGCTTGAGACTGGAAAAAAAAAATGGGAAAGAACCTAACTATAAGATCAAGAACATACATGGGGAAAAAAATAGAAAAAAAAATCTGCTAGGGCAAGTAGTCAAAAGTAGCAGACAAAGAAGCTAATAGGGATTTTGAAGTCTACAGCCTGAGGACTAGGGATAAACTTTTGAGAATATTTTGGTGCCAGGTGAGATTCAGAGTCGGTTGGTGTAACCACTCTTAGGAATGATGTTTGCTTTTTAAAATTCATACCCTAACTTTTTGTTAATGTATAGAGTAATTGCAAGAGAGTAAACATGATATGGAGAGTTAATTCATCATAATGTGAATCTCTGGACAATACAACCAAAAACCCTGAGAATATAATACATATCAGAAAAAGTACTTTTTTATTGGAGAAAAATAATAAATACATTAATAAATAAAACTAAGTGGTTGCAAAAAAATGGTCAAATTTCTAAATGACAAGTTCAGAAGAAATTAACATCTTTATTAAGTATAAGTTCAAATTTATCTCTAATAAATTTAAAATATACTTAAGTTTATTTACTTCAGTCTATTCTGAGAAACTGGAGCAGCAAGGATCATAAATATAAATTGGGTTTTTTTTTTAAGTTCAAAATTACCTAAGAACAGATAATGCATTTTTCTCAGCCTAAATTTGAGTGTATTTTCACTGAGGTTATGACCTGACCACTCAAAGGCCAGTTTTGATTAATTTCACAAATTGATAGATGCTGAGAAGGGAGAAAATAAATCAATGTAAGCTAAGAGAAATCTCTACTATTGAAACCTATGATCTTAATAAGAAATCTTGTTAATACTCATTGAAAAATGCACCCAGTTCTTTAAGACTAGTAGTGTTTTGGTAAAAATGTTCTGCTGAATTCTGTATGGCTCAAGCTGCCCACTTATAATACAAAACAAGAAGACCACATCATCACCCCTACAAAGAAAACTGAGCAGCTAACTATACAGAACCAAGAAATTAATAGCGTTTTCCTATCTACTGCATTCAAGAGAGTTTGCTGGTTTCTGATCAGGCATAAAAGCAAGTAAGTGAGAAAGTCTTCAGCTTGTGTCAGAGAGAGGGTGAGATCCAGGAGACAAGAAGAATGGGAAAGGCAGAAGTGGGGACCTCAGAAGGAGGGGAGAAACATGAGGGCTGAATGTGCTCCCCCCACAGGGCCGTGACCCCCACATAAGCCCAGCTCAAGAGATGCAGAGCAAGCCTTTTACCTTGTGTCTGGGCAAGAAACAATGAAAGCAACTTTCTGCTGTGGCGGATTGATCTGTTGTGATATTTGGATTTTTCCAGGGTCTCTCTGAAACATCTCAAAGTGTCTGTCACATCCACGGGCACGCAGACGAGCTCCTTGGCTCGGCTGTACTCTGAAAGGAAGTACAAGGCAGAGGCATGCTGGGGATGAAATGCTGCACAGACCAGAGAGGAGCAAACATGTTTCTAATTCAGAGAATTTCTTGGTCCCAACTTAAAGCTGCTAAATTCAAAGCCCCCAGATCTGCAGCAGGTGTTTCAACATTCGGATCAATTTTTTTTCCCCTTTTGGTATATTTGAAAGTTCCTTTTATAAAAAAACTTAGAAAACTTTTGATTCTTATGAAATGCAAATAACTTCAGATCTTGCCAATTTTCCTTATGAAGCTCCTACTTTTTCTTTCGCTGATCATAAAAAATGAAATAATCCACTCCTTTTCAGCAGCCTCTTCAAAGCAAAGGTATCTTGGGAAAGAGACGAAAGGAGGAAACAAAGAAGCCTGGAAATGGGCAACTGTTCTCTGAAGGGAAGAAGAGACAGGCTCCTAATCCTGGACGGTAACGGAGGGAAGGGGGCTGGGGGCAGCGGGTGAGTACAGAACCAACCAGCCCTTCTGAAAAGTGCCAGAAAGGGGAGACGACGGGACAGCGTTGCTGCCGAAACAGGCCCAGGAGAGACGGACATTGCAGGTTTCAGGACTGAATACAGGAGGGATTTACTTCTTCAGCATGTTGAATGGACAGAAGGGCCTGCAAAACCCAAGGCCCTGGTGGTGTTACAACTTAATACGGGACAGCTAGAAAAGGTTAAGGCATGTGGCCCTTGTCCTCAAGAAGTTCAGTCCAGCTGAAGAGACGGGGCATCCCAACACGGGTGGTAGAGTTACCTTTGCAGGGAATATCTGCTCATGCAGTAACGTGAGGAAAAACAGCAGAGAGAGACCAGCATAGGCATCAAAGACCAAGGAGAAAGGCAGTGCGAGAGAAGATGGGCCAGTGGTATCTTAGAAGCTAGGAACATTTGATTAGGAAGAAAGAGACAAGGGGCTTGGTGGGAGTAAGAATAGTTATACCATGTCAGGAACTCTTAAATAAGTTGTGATTAATCAGACAAAAAAAAACAAAAAAAAAAAAAACAAAAAAAAAAAAACAAAAAAAAAAACCTCCCTAGGAGGCAGCTACCATTATCACCCTCATGTTACAGAAGAGGAAAAGTAGGCAGAGAGGACTGGTAGTTTCCCTGGACTTTATGCCACCAGGAGTATGGAAGTAGAAGTGATGAGCCCAAGCCATCATGAGATGGAATGAGGAGGCCTGCCGAAAAAGTGGCTTGTGAGAGTCCCGGAGCCCTCAGTGAGGGAGTGGACTTTATCCTCTTCAAGGGAGAGCCAAGGAAGGTTTTGAGTAGGACTCTGATAGCAGGAGTTTCATGTTTTAGGAAGGGTTAGCCAATAGCTGTGTTTGCCTGAAGCCTGCAATGGAACTGAGTCTGGTGGCTAAGAGACTGTAAAGCCACAGCACAGACATTGTGTAATCTAAGTCAAGTAAGGCTGGCAGTGACAACACAGACGTGGTATGACCAAACTCAACTGAGGTTGGTAGTGATGGAAATGAGGGAGGGACACAAGGAGCATTCCAACATTAGAAGCAACAGAAATGGTTAACTGACTAAGGAGTAAAGCAAAAATTGGGGCAGTTGCCTCTTCCCCTCTCCTTTCAGGACTTGTTTCCCACCTCACTGGAGAAAAGAATTACAGCAATCCTGAGATTTTCCACAGGCTCCCACTGCCATCTGCACTCAGTCCCCAGCACAGTGCCCAACTGCACCTCAAGGGCACCACTCCAGCAATCCTCATCTCCCTCTCCAGGTCATCAATCTGCCCGTCTGCTGAATCACTGCTAACAGCACACTCTGCTGCTGTTTCTTCTTTAACCAACCAATACACAAAAACATCTCTTGACTGTTTTCCCCTTCAGCTACCATCCTACTTCCCAGTTCCACTTCACACCAAAACTTGTCATAAAGTTTTCCATACTCTTCGTTTCCCCATTCCCACTGGAATACATTTAGATCCAGCTTTCCTTCACTCTGGCTCACAACTTCTTCCTCAACCTCACTGAGCACTCCTTGGCCCTCTTTACATAATTCAGATTCATCAACCTGACCTCTTAATGTTAGGATCCCAGGTCTCAACTGCCTCTGTTTTCTTCTTAGTTTATACTCTCTTAATGATCTTTCCTAGCCTCATGGTTTTAAATATTCATGTGATGGTAGCTCTTGGATTGTATTTCTGACCTGAAATCTCAAGTCCAGACTAACCTATCCAATGATCTACTCTATTGTGTGTTCCACAGACAGCCCAAACCTAACACTGATCCTAATCTTCTCCCCTTAAACCTGTTTCTCCTATAGTCTTTCAATATCTCATCCTAGGATGACTCCATTGTGCATTTGCTCAGGCCAAATGCTAGAATCATCTCTGACTCTTCTCTCATGCCCCAAGTCAGATCCACAGCAAATCCTCGGCTCTCCCTTCAAAAATAGCCAGAGTCTCACCAGTTCCACTCTCTAATGCCATTTCCACTATGTTCCAAGACCTTAGTGTCTCCTTCTGAATTACAGCAATTGCCCTGCTAACCAGTCTGTTGTTCCCACTAGGCCACTCCCACTCTATGTCCTCAGCACAGCTACCAGAGGCCTCCTTCTGAAATGCAGGTCATCTCTTCTGCCCAAAACTCTCCACCTGCCCCTTCACCTAGACTAAAGCAAACACTAAAGTTCTAAGAGCCACCTAGAGGGTACTAATTACATGAACAGACTTCCCATGACTGCCTTGTCCCCTTTCTATTCTCTCACACACCAGGCATACTTCCACATAGGGTCTCAGCAAAAGTGGTTCACTGAGGCCTAGAACATTCTTCTCCCAGATATTCCCATATCTTCTTCCTTAGCTCCCTGAGGTCACTGCTTAACTCTTCACTTCTCAGTGAGGCTTTTCTTCATCACCTTAAAATTGTGGCACCCTGGGGCCAGTAATGTGGTATAGAAGGTTAAGCCACTGTCTGCAGTGCCAACATCCCATACGGGCACTGGTTTGAGGCCTGGCTGCTCCACTTCCAATCCAGCTCCCTGCTAATGGCTTCGGAAAATCAGCAGAGGATGGCTAAGTGCTTGGGCCCCTGCTACCCTCATGGGAGACCTGAAAGAAGCTCTTGACGCCTGACTTCAACCTGGCCTAGTCCTGGCTATTGCAGCCATGTGGGGAGTAAACCAGCAGATGGAAGACATCTCTCTCTTTTCTCTCCCCCTCCCCCACCCCCACCCCCGTAATTATGACTTTCAAACAAATAAACAAAAATATTTTTTTTACAAAAGTTTTATTACCCTACCCCTTCCTGACTTCTGTTGTTATCTTCTGATCACTCTGTGTTTTACTTTGTTATGGGCTATCTCTCTCCACTAAAATGAAAATTCCATGAGGGCAAGGTTTTTGTTCATTTTGTCTACTGCTATATGCCCAGAACTTATAATAGTATCTGGCATAAGGTGTAAGCTAAAAAAAATAACTGAGAAATATATGAATGGCTACAAGTTTTCAAAGCTAAATGCCTGGGCTTATAAACTTCATGAATAACCAATCATATCCAAAGGTTAACCTCAACTGATCCTCAGAGCACCTTTAAAGTTGAGGGATATTACCTCCTTTCAGGCCCTGAAAAGAGAAAGAGGGGGAGAATCAATGTTCAAGTCCAGGGTCTTATCTTAGATAATTTGCCAAAGAGCAACAAATCCTGAGTATCAGGCAATGACCCAGACTTGAGGACTGGGAGTGTTGGCACAGAGATGCTTTTGGAATAAGAATAAGTTTGATAAAAGTTATTGGAAAGAACCTGTGGTACTTGTGAGGCCAGCAGCAGGCAGGCCCTAATGGAATGAGTAACATGGGGTTAGAGTCCATGGACACAGATACATCTTTCAATACACCCTGAAGTCTAGGAATCCTAGAGGCTCTGGTCAAACTAGGATCATTGTTAAACTAGCACAAGTATTTATTCCTCCTGAAGTTCAGTCTTGACACATTTCCTGTTTCATGTTTCAGAGAATCAAATACTTAGGCCACAGGAGCTCTTATTAGCTCCCAGAAGCTCTCACTCTTCTACCTTACCAATTGCATTCACCTGTCCCTCCATCCTGCCCCCCACCTTGCTCCCTCAATCCCCTCCTCTCCTCTAACTCAGTTCCAATCCTGTGTGATCCCAGATGAGGCATGTCCCCTACTCTCTCATTCCTATCCATATGGATAACATCATGAAGACTGTAGGGTTTTGTTCTGTTTTTCTATTTTTCTTGCAAGAATTCATGAGCTTGGCTTTTTCCTCTTTTTCCTGAGAGAGTGAAGTCAGAGAAAGAAGTTAAGCAAGTGTCTTAGTCACTACAGACTGCTATTATAATAAATTACTGTAGACTGGAAGGCTTACAAACTACAGAAATTTATTTTGCACGCATCTGGAGTCTGGCAGTGTGAGATCAGAGTGCCAGCACAGCCAGGTCCTGATGAGTGTCCTCTTCCTGCCTTGCAAATGTTTATCTTCCAGGTGCCCTCCTTCATATGACTCAAGAATGCCTAGAGGGCTCTCTGGAGCCCCTTTTATAAAGCATTAATCGCATTCATGAGGGCTCCACCCTCAGGCCTCCTAGTATCATCACACTGGGGGTTAGGAGAAACTGGGGAGACAGGGCACAAACATTTTGCCCATAACATCAAGCAAAGGAAGAGAAAGAAGGCTGGAAGCCCCACATACTAACAAGACAAGTCACTATCTCAAGGACTTAGTTTTAAATATCTATTAAAATTGAGATGATGGAGTGGGCATTACTTGGGACACTTGGGACACCCATATTATACCAACTACTTTGTTTCCAACCCAGTTTCCTGCTAATGTGCCTGGAAGCAGATGATGACTCAAATACATGGATCCCAACACCCACATGGGAGACCGGGATGGAGTTCCTGGCTCCTGGCTTCAGCCTGGTCAAGAACATGGCTGTTGCAGACATTTGGGGTGTGAACCAGTGGATAAAAGTGCTGTCTCTCTCTCTGTCTTTCACCCT